TGAGAGCTGCACGGTTGAGCATACCTGTGATGTGAATGGCGCGCAGCAACTTCAGCCGCGGGTAACTCCAGAGGAGCAGACGGCGGGCGAGCTGAGACATGCGGCGAGAGCGCATACCCCCCAAGCGGTTGATATACGCCGCCGCCGCCGTACTGTCCGTCCTGACCAGCACGTGTTGCTGCCCCAGCGCCGGAGAAAAACGGCGAAGAGCAAGGAACACTGCCAACAGCTCTAGGCGATTGATGTGCCAATGCAGCTGGGCACCTACCCACAGGCCCGCAGCTGCATGCCCGCGACACACGGCTCCCCAGCCTGTGCTGGAAGCATCTGTCGAAACAACAACATGACTGGACGCCTGTCCCAGAGGCACACCGGCCTGCAGGAACGAGGGGTCGTTCCAGGGGCTGAGGGTGCGGCGACACAGCGCAGTAACAGCGACTCAGTGTGTGCCCGCATGCCATGCGCGTCTCGGAACTCGATCTTGAAGCCAGTGCTGAAGTGGTCTCATATGGAGCAATCCGAGCGGCGTGACAGCCGCAGCAGAAGCCATATGCCCCAGGAGCCTCTGAAAATATTTCAGTGGGACCACTAACTTGCTGTCGAGCTCCCTCAGACAGTTCAGCAGCAGGCGAGCGCGCTCTTCAAGGAGGCGTGCTACCATGGTGACCGAGTCCAGCTCCATCCCGAGAAAAGAGATCCTCTGCACCGGGGCGAGTTTGCTCTTTTCCCAGTTGACCTGCAACCCCAATAGGCGGAGATGCCGGAGCACCTCGTCTCTGTGCGCAGTCAATTGCTTCCGAGAGTGGGCTAAAATCAGCCAGTCATCGAGATAATTGAGTACGCGGATGCCCGCAAGCCGCAGAGGCGCTAGGGCACCCTCCGCGAGTTTGGTGAAGACCCGCGGAGACAGAGAGAGCCCGAAGGGGAGGACCTTGTACTGCCATGCTCGACCTTCGAACGCAAACCGCAGAAACTGACGGTGGCGTGGAAGAATGGAGACATGAAAATACGTGTCCTTCAGGTCTAGGGCTGCAAACCAATCCTGAGGACGAATGCATCGGAGGATGCGCCTCTGCGTAAGCATTCTGAACGACAGCTTGTGAAGGCAGCGATTCAAAACACGCAGATCTAGGATTGGCCGTGACCCACCGCTCTTTTTGGGTACGATGAAGTACGGGCTGTAAAACCCGCTCTCCATCTCGGCTGGAGGTACCGGCTCGATTGCACCCTTCGCCAGGAGGGCAGCAATCTCCTCTCGCAAGACAGGGGCGGACAGGGGATTGACCCTGGTGAAATACACGCCCGTAACCTGGGAGGCCATTTGGAGAACTGTAGTTCGTAGCCGAGTCTGATCGTGCGTATGAGCCACCGCGAGGGGCTGGCCCGCGCTAACCAGGCGGGCAGAGCCCTCGCTAATGACGTCATCGCAGCAATCGTTGACGTACCCGCGGAGGGGCAGCGAGGAGCGGGTGTGCTGATCCGGGGAGCGCGAGCTGGAGGAGAGCGATTCGCTCTGGCTCCGCACCCTGACTCCGGAGGGGGGGCTTGGGGGCTGGGAAAAGGGAGACCGTCCCCCCAGCGCCCGTGAGCCGCTGGCGGAGCATGCAGACCTTGCAAGCTGAGAGGCGGCGCGTCCCAGGCTGGCTGGGCCTGCAGTGCCCGTGAGCCACTGGCGGAGTGCACTGAACCTACGAGCTAGAGAGCTGAGCTCAAACTGGCAGATTTCAGGCTGTCACCTCCGGAGAAGTGGAAAAGTGCCCTTTCATTTCATGGCAGTAAAAAGTGCCGTTGGAAATGGCGCCCCGCCCTCCAGCGGGGAAAGAGCAAGTTCCCTCCTCTCCAGATGACCTGTCCCAGGGACGCTTCGCGGTCCGTTGCCAGACTTAGCGGCGTTCTGGGCAGGGGGAGTGGCCTGCTTCCGAGGTGCTCGACGCGCTCGCTTCGCCAGAGGCGAGTGCGGGGGCGGTGCAGCTCTCGTAGGCGGGCGCCTTCGGCGAGGAGCAGGTATGGATGGCACGGCGGGCGGAGCGGGCTTACAGGGCCGCCGATTAGACATCACCCATCGGACTGCTCTCTCACTTTCTCGAATTCCTGGGTGAATTCGCAGACTGTGTCGCCGACCAGCTTGGGATATGGGTGAGTCAAGAAAGAGGACTTTGTCAACTTCGCGCATATCAACCAAGTTTTGTTAGAGGTGGGGCTTCTGGACCACTAGTATGGACATCGTCCTCCCCAAAGCACACGCAGCGGACTTAGTAGTCCGAAGAGCTTAGTCGGCTGCGGTGCGAAGCTCATAAGCCTGGGTTGGACCCACCCTCGTGCAGCTCGGCCAGCGCCTGCGCTTGGTAGCGCTGGTCGGTGGCTATCGCATGCAAGGCGGATGCAGCCTGGTCCGTAGCTTTGTAAGCTCTAGCTCCGAGGGAGCCGAAAACTCACAGGCTTTGGATGGGAGACGAGGCAGACCCCGCCAAGAAGAGGCGCTGCGCGGATTAACCGCCATCGCACACTTAACCTGAGGAATCGCCACATACCCCCTGGCCGCTCCACCACCAAGAGTGGTGAGGGTGGAGGGACACGCAGCACGAGCAGAAAAAAGGTGCTCTTTAAGACCGCGTGAGCCTACTGTGCGTCGCCGGGAAGAAGGGAACGCCCCTCTAGTCGGTCCGGCCGCGGAGCTGGGGGATAAACCATCTCCAACCCACGGCCGAAGCAGCCTGGGAAAGCACGGCTAACACATCCGTTTCAGTATCCGTTTTGACAGCGCTCACCTGCCCGAAGGGGGCGAGCGGGTCCGGATCATCGTCGGACAATGAAAGCCCACCCTCCGATGCCGCGGAGGACATCTGATCTCCGGTGTCAGCGAGCGTGAGAGCTACCATCTGATTAGACGGATCACTCCCAGCGCCCGAAGCTTGGATGGAGCGCTTGGAGGAGCGAGAGGTCCGCGAGCCCTTAGGAGGCGGATTTATCTCTCGCTGGAACCCTCAGATCTGCCCGAGCGCCCGCTGCAGAACAGGAGGCGACTGGGGTGGCTCGCTCTCTCACGAGAGTTTGCCGCGATCTCAACTGTGCGACGGTCATGGCATCGTAGTGACGACATGAACCGCCCCCGAGCACCACATTAACATGCTGGACCCCCAAACATGTAATGCAGTGATCGTGCCCATCATCCGGAGCCAGGAAACCCCCGCAACCAGAAACGCACAGGCGGAGCGCCGTCCTGAAAAGGACGTGCTGCACGACTGTGTTGCTCTTTTAGGATGCTTTGCAACAATACGCACCGCTCTGGAGGACCGGACCCAAAGGGACGCCAGGCAAGGGAGAAACCCAGCTCGACCATCTGCCGCTGCGTGGACTCGCTCTGGACCGGGAGACACTCGTTCGCTCGAAGTGGCTGTAGACAGCAGGAGGAACCCTCATGAAGCTCGATCAGAAAAGTCTCTGAAGCGAAAAGGATAGCGTCTGCTGGCGCCAGGTGAGCTTATATACTCAGTTGATTGCTTATGCCGCTCACCTGCGCAGGCTTGCGCTGCCAATTCATTCTTAATAGGCCCGTTCAATACTCTTTCAGACGAGTAGCTTCTGAACCGAATCTCCCAATACGTGGATTTTAACAATCAAATCCACTTATAGTGCTGGAGTTCCCCCCGAAGGGGAACAAGAAATGTTCCCAGGACGTTCTGAGAAGTTCACAATGTTGAGTTCTTTAAAGGTGTGGGAAACGTTTTTGGGGGACCTTTACAGAACATTCAGAACGTTCTCAGAATGTTTAGGCGACCATACTTTTTTGGAAATTGTGACGTTCTTATAACATGAATTGTGCTGAACTTGAATTAGATATTGGATATGTACAAGTGTTTACTCGTTGTTTTTGGAACCAAGGTGTGCAGTATGAAATGTAATCTTATTATTGTTTTTATATGTATGTAACTTATTTATCTATTTTTAGTATGGAGAGCTCTGCTGTGACATGTGAATTTCCCTCCGGGGATTAATAAAGTCAAACTAAACTAAACTAAACTAAACTAACATCCTCGGCGTTAAGGACGTTGTTTAGTAACGTTCCCAGATTGTTCTGAGAAGGTCACAATGTTGAGTTCTTTAAAGGTGTGAGGGACGTTATTTGGGGGACCTTTACAGAATGTATAGGGGGCCAGACTTTATTGGATAATGTGACGTTCTCAGAACGTTCTTTTAACATCCTTGGTGTTAAGGCCGTTGTAATGTTCCCAGAAGGTCAAGATGTGAAATTCTTTAAAGAGCCCATATTATGGTTTTTTGAAAATAACCTTCCATTTAGTGTGTCACACAGCTCTATGTGAAGTGAAATGTCCAGCTAAGGCTTAAATCTGTAAATGTACAGTGTTTTAAACTGTTGATTCATATATAAAAGAGTCGACTCTTATTGCTTCAAACGAGTCGCCTTGATACCGAATCATTAGGTGTTTCGCCATGACGTATGAACGAAACCAAGTTATTCACGTGCACGCGCAAACCCGGGAAAATCGAAACTCCACCGGCCCCGCCCACAACAACAGGATAACAACAAAAAGAGGTAGACCACGAACGCTGCAGCAAATTCCGGTTGAATCATGTCGCGTAGACACTGTGCTCTTAAGTGTGAGGGAAAAGTAACGCTTTTTTCCCTACCTAAAGTACAGAGGTGAAGTTGGTTTTATATTCGCACATTCGTTTAATTAGAAGTCTATATTGTTTACCATGTAACTGTATATATTAGATCGAAATAAGCATGCAAGTATGAGTTCTAAACAACATTAACCTAATTCACTGTGAACAATGACTTGGAGAGTCATTTGCTGCTAATATGTTTTTTCTATTTAGAATTTGCAAAGAATACTTTTCTGAAATATTATTATAGAGAATGTCTGAATATCTGAACATAAAACCAACTTTACCTCTTAATAAATTGATATTTTAAATGAATTATGTTTATGCCCCATGTAATTTTTATAGATTTTTTTTTGTCCTTTTTTGTATAGAGTACATCACAGCAGACCATTTCAAGTGGATGTGCACGTGTAGATGTGGCTTGTCAGACTGACTCTCTAGAAACTGTGAATGTGACTACACAAACGGATGATATAACAAAAACATCTGTTGGCACACAGCTGTCCTTAAGAACGCAGAAAGAGTCGCACTTTCGGAGTAAAGGTATAATTTGTATAAATGTTGTTGTATTTTCATTCAGTAATAAAGCTCTAATTTATTTTAATAACACTCTCTAAAGCTTATATTTGTTGAAACTAAACTTACATAATTGTCTTTTTAAGGGTCACAGGCAACAGTTAAATGTGAAACTGTTGGCACAATAACGACGTCCTTTGATGTACCATTTGCCTCAACACCTATAAAGGCTCTTGGTGTCAGCACAACCAAAAGACCTCATCTGGAATTGGAAGAGGAGGAGGTGGAAGAGGAAGACTCATACATAGACTTTGAGACAGAACCTTATGACTCAACTTTTAAACCAGACGACACAACCATTTCACAGGAATCAGAAATGTTGTAAGTAATATCCTTTTTATAGGTTTATTATAAGAGGATTTATTTTAAAAATTTACAAATAATTCTTTATTTACTAGGATTGTGAAAAGGCCCATGTATGGAGATGCAAAATACATTGTTTTTGAAACATGTTTGCGGGAGCTGTTTGCAACGTGTCCAATTTGCAAATCAAAGTGTGATACGGAGCAACACCGCATGGGCACATATGTTGCTTTCAGCCAGATTTGCCCCAAGTGTATGTACAACAGGAAGTGGCAGAGCCAGCCAATTGTTGGAAGTACACCGGTTGGAAACGTCCTCTTATAAGCAGCCACTTATTTTACAGGAGGCTCATTTATCCAACTACAGAAGGTAGTAAATTATTTTATGAATATCTGATTTTATGAAATCAAAATTGTTAATATTATCTATGAATACACATTTTTTTTCTCTTGTATATATTTTTAAGGCTGTGCAATTAAACTTGTTCCAGTATGACACATTTCATCGACATTGCAGAAGTTTTTTGGAACCAGCAATTGTTCATAAGTGGAAAAGTGAGCAGCAAAACATAATAGCAAAGTTAAAAAGGGAGGAAAGACTGCTATTGCTGGAGATATGCGTGCAGACTCACCAGGTATGTCATGCGTTTTTCTTAAGTTATTAAACCATTATTTTAGTATATTCTCACGTTGAATTTTATTTATGCTCCCACTTTTTGGTGTAGGCCATTCAGCCAAATTTGGAAGCTACACAGTAATGGACATGCAGAGTAATACAATTGTGGACCTCCAGCTTGTTCAGGTGTGTAAATTCATATATATATATATATATATATATATATATATATATATATATATATATATATATATATATATATATATATATATATATATATATATAACATTGACTAAAGATGTATTACAATTTTTAAATAAACCAATTTTAATATTGCTATGCATTTTTAGAGCAATGAGGTTGGAGGTAGCTACCATATGGAGAAAGAAGGGCTGAAGAGATGTCTGGATCTACTGGAGAACAACGGGTTAGAGGTGGATTACATTGTCACCGACCGTCATCCACAGATCCAGAAGTACCTCAGGGAGCGCAAGATAACCCAGTTCTACGATGTATGGCACTTCGAGAAGGGTTAGTATTTGACATTCTAAGCACATTTGAATGTACAGTGAAATAGGTTTTTATTCATTATTGTTTATTATTATTCATTTTTTTTTGTTTAACAGGTTTGTTTAAGAAATTAAATAAACTGGGAAAAAACAAGGAGTGTGAATTGGTGAAGAAGTGGCAACGTAGCATCAGAAATCATGTTTACTGGTGCGCCACTTCCTCTACATCGGGACCAGAGAAGGTGGCCAAGTGGACTTCGCTGATTAACCACCTCCAGAATGTGCACACGCATGACAATGCTTTATTCCCAAGTGTGCACATCCACTTAGAGCTTCAAAGGACCCAAAGAAATGGTTTCAACCAGGTAGTTATTGTTAATTTGTCACTTTTATACACTTTGTGTTTCTTGCACTACTTATTGAATGAATAATTGGGTGAAGTTAATTCTACAAGAGAAAGTACTATTACTTACAGTTTCTAATAATGCAGGGTCACAGGCTCTCTTCAAAGTTGAAAGAGTACTGTGCAACAAGAGGGTGCTGAAGGATGTTGAGAAATTGAGTCATCATTATCAGACATCTTCACTTGAGGCTTTCCACAGCCTTATTCTAAGATTTACACCAAAAAACGTTGTTTTCCTGTTCATGGGAATGCTGTGCAGGTACTCAAAATATTACAACATATATCAGTTTGCTTTTTTTGTTTATTCTCTTTGTTAATTGTCTGCTTTGCTATTATAGACTGTACCTTGCAGCGTTTCATCACAATGAAAACGCAAACCGTCAACAAGCCACAACCGCTACAGGACAAGCAATGTACAAAATGGTGTTGCCAAAATCAAAAAGAGGGGAATGGACAACACGGGCATTAAAAACAGAACCAACCTATAGTAAGTTATAAAACAGTTTTATTTTTAGAAATAAATAAGTAATTTACATTCAATAAATATATAACAAAATTACAATATAAATTATAATTATAGGATATGTTGAGGAGCTACTGAAACTGGTCTTCGAGGTCATCATTATGGACCCCTCTCCATTTGTGGATGAATTGAAGAAAATTCCCATTCCCAAGCCCCTTTGTGCAGAATACGACAGACCAACAAAGGAAGAAGCCATTGCCCATCACAAGTCTCGGTTCAGTCAAGAGGGGGTCGGAAGCCAACATACCGACCAGCCTGATCTGGAAATGCCTGCCGTATCCGGGTTACAACACAGCACGGAATTACAACACGAACACTCCGACCCAAGTAGCCCCAGCACCAGCTGACAAAACTGCGGTACGCCAGGTAGCGGAACTGCCTAAAAGAAATAAAGACTTTTTTTTAAAAATCTGTGTGACAATTTATTTTGGGAATAAAGATCGTTTGATTAACATATCTGAATCAATTGTCATGATTTACATGTTCTTTTTATCCCATATCAAAGTGGTTGCACTAATGTTATTATTTGTGGGGTTAAACAAAATGTACTTACTCTGTTGTTCTAAGCCTTAGACGCCCATAATCACATTGGTAAATGTTATAGATGTTCTGCAGTGTATATGGATTCAGACAGTTGGGTTCAAAGCCTGGATGGTGTATCATGCATGTTGGTGGGTCTGGAATCTGGTTAATCCTTCTTGTAACCTACGATGGTAAGATTGGGGGGGGGGGGGTGAAGTTTTCAGACAACAAATACTTGTATAATAATTCATAATAACATAAGTGTTTGGATTGGCATACAACTTTAACACTCCAAAACAAACTGATATGATATTACATGTTTATGCATATGAATAATAATGATTACATTTTGTGGACAAAACAATTTCCTATGTGACAATAAATAAAAAATGTAAATTTTTATAATAACTTACAAGAACATAAATGTTTGTAGTGGCATAAAACGTAAATCTAAAACAGCTTGCTATGATATATAGTTACATATGAATAATACATATTAACTTCAGTAGACAAATAAAATTGTCTATGTGACCATAAACAAATAATAAATATAGAAATTTGTTTTCTTTGTTAACTTGTATAACAACTTATAATAACAAATATTTGTATTGACATAAGAGGTTATTACTATCCAACACAAGTTGCTATACTAATGTTTTTACTGGTATAAAACATTAACACTCTTAAACACGTTGCTATAAAATTATATACATATGAATAATACAAATTGACTGTTCAGTGCTTCAAACGTTTGTATAGATGTAAAACAAATTTACTTCAAATTTGGATTGTGTTAGTTTATAGCATTCCTCACTATAGAAGTAAAGTTGGTTTTATATTCGCACATTCAATCCTATAGCAGTCTCTATATTGTTTACCATGTTACTTTGAATGCTGTAAGCATTATGTAAATAATATATATAATGTGTAAGTAATATATCTTGTTTCTAAGATAACAACAAACTCTGCACCGCATCTGATGTCATTCCCTCGCTGTAAATGCTGGGGCTCATCTGCAAATCTGCTAATAACACACTAAGTAAACTAACTGCATTGTTAATACAAGGCCTGCAACTGTTAACTTCATTTACTGGCAGCTTAGTAGCCTAATAGCAATAAAAGTTAATAATTTCTGATTCTGTTTGCATTTTTATATTTGTTATATTTGTGATATACTTATTTTTATTGCTATAGAACACAATGGTATTTTGGGATACTACATGTACATGCAGACTAAGTAATACCCGAATAACCGATAACTCTTAAGACTTGGAGGCCGTTAGCTGATACATATAGGCCGATAATTATAAAATATTTCAAAATGTAACATTTTTATACAGCAAACTTCATGAAAGATTGAACTGCTCTTATGAACTGAATAGTTTATACTCAAAGCAGAAAAAGCTATGATTTCAAAATTGCAAGGTGATTATACAGACCTATATTCACGATTTCACATAAATCAGCATGCAAAAAATTAATTACTTCCTTTTCTTCATAGCAAATTAACATGCAACTTGACTGTTGCATAAAAATAATAGGTTAAATAACAAAATGAGATTTAATCAACAAGCAAGTTAAATATATTTTAAACAAAATGAAAATGAAAGAGCTAGGGACTAAAACCAGCTCAAATGTTCTTGAATAAAATGTGTTACAGTAATGTACATGTACAAATATGTCATGTCCGAAAAAGCCATTTTTAGAGGTGTTTTGACAGTTCAGAGCCACTGTACAAGCAAAAGGCTTGATACAGACAATGATTCTATGTTCATTCTTGCTGTCAATTGCGGGAAAAATGATCGATGAAAAGTTTATGACAAACTGCTGTGAGTTTTACTCAACTGCAGAAGGAGCAGCTAAGCATTGAGCTCAGATGACTTTATGACAAATGCAGAGCATAATATAAAGACTGAATGTGCGGCGAGTTGAGAGCTCCTATGCTGGATTCAGTGACCAGCACACCCCACCTCTCCCTCGTGCTGCTCTGAAGGCTGTTAGATCAGCCTGTGTGTGTGTGTGTGCGGTGACAGTCCCCACGGGCACTCGTTATAATCAATATGAATATTCTGATCAAACTGAATACATTCTTACATTAACAACACATGGCAAGCAACGCGTTGATAATATCAAATAATCATATTAGATTACAAACAACTCAACGAGTTGTTAAGCACATGTGTATGTGATGTTTGCACATGTAAATATTTTTCCTGAGGCGATTTAAAGCAAAATACACAATGACACAAAGAATTAATGAGTACAATGATGATGAATATGGTTACTGAGTTATTAATGCATAGCAATACCACATGAAGAAAGAACGGACTTTGAAAGAATAAACAATGTGAGAAAAGCTCCATTATAGTACATTGGACAAGTCTAAACAAGTTCCGCCCACGTGTGCGCGAGGCAGGCAGTTCTGTACAATTACAATATGGTCACCGATATATCGTGCTTTCCAAAAAAACACCCAGGTTTGAGGTTTAGGAAGCCACAAATGCATTTTAGACTGCATGTATAAAAAGGCATTAACTGTATGCTAAAATTCATTAATTTTAAGGTACTTGTGTTTCCTATGTGGGATGAGTCTCATCTCCTAAAAGTGGAAATCTCTGCTATCCTCAATATAGCTGCAGTTTTAACTACAAACAGGAGTATATAACTGCCTTGTGGCTCCAGTGTAATAATTGCAGTAATTATGAAAATGCTTTTTTTACAGGTTTCAGCCTTGACCATTGCACTTTATCATGCTCCTTAAAGAACATTGATTTGGAAGTATTTTAAACCAGATTACACACATCTCAAACTCAAATTCCACGCTGTATCCCTGTTACAACAAGACTAAATTTTACAACACTGCCGTAAAACTTTAACCCTTTGTAAGGAGCATGTTTACACAAACACATAGCCCCAGCTGGAACACTGTCACACAGAGAACAACTTTTCAAATCTTCACACACAGTCAAATTCACAATTTATCTGACTCTGCTTCATATAGATTTTACATGTTTTTTAAGTCTTCAGGCTTAATCATAATTATGAATTTTCCAATGATTTGGTTATTTTGATTTCTTTTGATTATTTAACCAGTTACTTGTTATTTGTTTCAAAAAGTTATATCAAAATGTAAATTAGGATTCTAAATCCAAAATGCTGAATTATTGTTGCATTTGTGACATTGACATCTCTACAAGAAATGCTATTTGTGCATTTTGCTTGAAAAGAACTCAAACTGGCTACATCAATCCTTTTATCAATGACAAATGCTATGTGTTTGCTTGTGCTGTTTTTGTGCTATTTGCTGTTTTCAAATACAGAATCCAAGCAGAAAAGGTTCACGTCTTCTGATTTACTTCAAGAGAAGAGCAGGGATTCCCTGCGTTCCTCAGCACCTATTCTTGTGCGACTATGAAGGACCATTTGCATACAAACAGTGCTACACCAGGACAACAAAGATTGACCAACTTTATACCTGCAACAAGCCTGAACAGGGACTCTGAAGATGACAGCAGCACACAACAGAAAGCATATTTTCATCTTTAATGTCAGCTTTTGCTTTATGTGTCACAACAGTGCCAGGGGAGTGTCACGGGCAAAGAAGAACTCAAATTTAGAGAAAATATCCAGAATATCCCGAGCTGGGATCCAACATCTCTCCTCCGGACCATAACCCATTCAGCCTACCAGATACTGATAACCTCTACCTCTCCTCCTCACATCCAGGAGACGGTGCACTGTGTATGTAAGTGCACCCTCAACCAGCCTGGGAGGTGGGAGGGCAGAGGTTAAGGGCTGCAGGGGGGAGCGAATAACAGGTTTGATTTTAGACACATGAAAGACTGGGTGAATATTACTGAACCAAGGGCTTAATTTGAGTCGAACCGCCACAGGACTGAGCACCTTGGTAATGGGAAAAGGTCCGATGACCTTACGGACAACCCCGTAGACGAGACCGGGAGAGAGTTATAAGCGTATTCGACCATGGTTAACCTGGAACTCCAAGATGACAGTTCCCCTGACGCAACGCAACGCAGGACCCTCTCCAGGTCCTGATTAGTTCGTTCGGCCTGGCCGTTGGTCTGTGGGTGGTACCCAGAAGAAAGGGTAGCCTTCGCCCCCAGCTGTCGGCAGAATTCTGCCCAAACCTGGACACAAATTGGTGACCCCTGTCTGAAACCACGCCAACCGGGAGGCCATGAATACGGAAAACGTGGTCCAAAACGATGGCTGCTGTCTCCCTCGCTGAAGGCAATTCGGGGAGGGGAATAAAGTGTGCCGCCTTCGAGAATCTGTCCACCACAGTGAGGACTACAGTGTTGCCACTGGATGGGGGTAATCCAGTGACAAAGTCCATAGCTATGTGTGACCAGGGTCGCTAAGGGACAGGCAGTGGCCGGAGAAACCCTGCTGGGGGTCGATTAGAGCTTTTGGCTACCGCACAGACCGGACAAGCCAACACAAACTCACGAGTGTCCCGTACTATCGAGGGCCACCAGAACCGTTGCTTAATTAACCCAATGGTGCGATCTGCTCCTGTGTGGCAGGCTAGCTCGGATGAGTGACCCCACTGTAAAATCTTGGTCCAGACCGACTCAGGCACATAAAGCAAATTACTAGGGCACTTTGTGGGCGCAACGATGGTGCGGAGTGCCTTGTGGACTAAAGACTCAACCCCCCAGGCTACCGCTCCAACCACACGTTCGGGTGGGAGAACAGCAACCGGAGAGGTGGGTTTGGGTTCAACCTCACTCAAACGCGACAGGGCGTCAGCTTTACCGTTCTTGGACCCCGGGCGATAGGAGATGTGGAAATCAAACCGGCCCAAAAACAATGCCCAACGAGCCTGACGAGAGTTAAGTCGTTTGGCAGATCTAATGTACTCCAAATTCTTATGGTCGGTCCAGGTAACGAAGGGGACCCCCGATCCCTCTAGCCAG